TAATTCCTTCTGCAGCTTTCCTTGCCTATTTTAGGTCCTTTCAAAGCAAAGGTATAATAGTTCATGTGTTTTTCTGACTGATAAAAGACAAAAAAACCCTCATCTTGTTTTATGTTACTTAAAATGCAAGTGCTTATATTTTCAATTCTCACAGCAGACAGTATTCCTGCAGTGGTCTGCTAATAAGCTCACTAGTGAGTTCTGCTGAATCTCGCTTCTGTTTGAACCTGCCCTTGATGCAGGGCTGTCAGATGGAGAGTGTTCATCAGGCACATAATGATGTTTGCAGTGCAGAACATGGAGGTGTATGTGTGGGCACACAAGTGACTGTGCACATATAAATGTTGCTGTAGAGTGATTGTCTAAAGGAAATAAAGAAAGAAAGACTGTTTTTTTCTAAGACCACTTAGTATTGCTGAGTGTAATGGATGAACTTTCTGGCCAGGTTTTTTTTTTCCCCTTAGGCCTTCAAATTGGCCAGAATTTGGAAGCAGTTGTTTTAAAAACATAATTTTTTTGGTGCATCAAGTTTGTCAAATTAACTAGCTCAAGAAATTCCCTCCCTCTCTTCCTCTGGTTGCTCATTTCTGCTTCCAGTTGTTACTCCAATAGACTCTTGATGCTACTGTTTGTGGGGCACAGTCTTAAAAATGAGGCATTAATAAGCTGTGCTGCAAGGTGTGAAGCAAAGAGCAGCTCAGGTCCTTGTGCTGCCAGAAGAATGTTTGTGTAACTGGCACAGTCACCACTGTGTGCAGTGCCCAGCAGAACAGAGAGTCTTGGTTCTGAGGCTGGTTCTCAGGGTGTGGAGGTTAGCCTCGTCCTTTTGGATATTCTTGGGACATTCTGAGAGTAAAAGTTATGCTACAGGAAGATGTTGCTACATCTTTCCCATAACAAATAGGAATACTATATGTTAGCTCTTACTTATGGAGTCCTATACAAGCATCTCTTTACACTGCATTTGATTGTGAACATGCCACTTAGTCAAGATTTGGCTACCTTGGCCTTCTAAGAAGCAAATAGTAAGCATGCTAAGGTGCTGTGCTATTTAAACAAAAGTAAAAGTCTCTTCCTTCTTTTGTTTCCCATAAGCAAAAGTTCACCTTTTACTAGGTGAAATACAGCACCCATGTGAAAAGGCAGCTCTGTAACAGTGAGACATAGCTGGTAGTGAGGATCATGACTGCATATTTAGGATAAAAATGCAGAGGATCAAATTTTTTTTCCTGAATTTGTTCCCAAAAAATTGGCAAATACTGGAGTGTTTGCGTAAAGGAAATTAAAATCACAGTTTTAAACTTTAAATTTCAAATGTCCTTACTGTGTTGGCCTTCCAGAGTTTTTATTCAAATTAAACACATATAATAATAATAATAATAATAATAATAATAATAATAATAATAATAATAATAATAATCTAAAAATATTTGAACTCCAGTATATATACCAACAATTTGAACTGTAAAAATTCAAAATACATCTGAAATCAAATCCTGATCTGTAAACCTACAATTCTTCATGTTTCTTTAATCTGAGCCTGATGAGAGTGAGCAGCTGCCTTAGCAAGATGCTGCACCTTGTGTTCTTGAGAGTGGTTTGCATGTGCTGGAGGATGGCTGTGTGGGTGGGTGATCATGTGGGTGTCTGCATGAAATTTTCACATGTGCATTTTTGCTTTCAGTTCTGAGGGAGAGGAATTAAGTTTTTGCTAGACAGAATTTCTTCCACGAGGTTGGACTGAGATTGTAATTGCCAGTACAGTTGCCCCTCAGTACGTCAGGCAAGGATTTCTTTTGTGGGGGAGCATTCATGGTAATTCTGCAGAATTTCCAGTCTCACATACAGCAGCCTGTGGTCTAAGAATACAACCAACATGGCACCAGAGCAGTGACAGACATTACATACAGATTTATATTACTGTTCTTTCTGAACATATCAGTGGTAGCTTCTGAAAAACAAATATCAAACCTATATGCTTGAAAGTATCATAGAATGTAATTTTGTGCAGTTGGTCACAGTCAGATACGTATAGCTTTATATTTGGTTTTATTACATACATTGAGCAGTAAAGAGCAGAGACATTCATACAGGTGTGTGAGAGTTGTTCACTCTGAAAAGTGACTCAGAAGCAAACTTTGGGATATAATTGTGAGACTGAATTCCAGTTCTGTGATAAATTTGACACAAGCAGGAGCTGCTCAGATAAAAGTTGTGAAGTTAAGTTACCTCTCTTTTTGCCTATGTTGGGACTGCAAGTTTAGTGGGTTTATGTATGTAATTTTGTGGTTTCATAGTTCAGGACTTGAAAAACTGCACCATGGTGGTGCAGCTCAAGGATAAGATTCATGTAGCTTCTCTGTTCTGGCAACTCTGAAACCAAAATCAGCTGGTTTCACTGCTTCTTTATTCACTAAAGGATGAGTTCAGAAAAATATTATAAGCTGGCATGTACATGAGGCTGGGCTTAATTAACACAATAGTCCCATCTAATTATCTTGTCCATGAAAGTTAGTAAGACTCTGGTTGGAGCCATGCCACAAAATTATGTAGAAAAATGTGAGCTGTTATTTTATCAATATGTGGTTTCTTTCTGTATAAAGCATTTCAAGTAAGCAGCCTGTAATCTGCTTGAGTAGAGAGGAAAGAGTTGATACCAATAATTAGGAGAAGCATGGTTTGCAGTCAGAGCATATTCAATAGAGCTTGAAATTAAGGACTATGGACTAAACATTTGCCTCTCTATAGACAGGGTTTTGCCCTCTCTTCATCTTACCCCCCAGTTTTCCCTCTCTCTGCCTGATAAATATGATGTATAAGGTACTTACTTAAAAAGATATTTAGACTGTAACTGTAGACAGCAAAAGAAGATCCCTTTGAGAAGATTGTTTTGCTCATGTGTGTCCCTTATGTCATTTACATAACTGGTTCCAGTGTATCATTTTTTTCAGTAAAAATTCAGCTGGCATAGCAATAGTTATTCAGGTTTTTTGCAGAACTGGAACAGATCTTTGGGCATTAAAGCCTTAAGGCAATTTGGCCAAGTGGTTGACTCTGGGGCTTTCCTCCCACAGTAAAAATAGCTTAAATTGATTAAAATAAACACCAGATAGTCTGGTCAAGAAAATATGTTGTATATGATACTTCTCAAATGTTTTAAGTGGATGTAGCTCTGTTGAAGTCAGTGGTGCTCTGCCAGTTTGAACCAGCTCAGTATCTGACCAAAACATATTGCAGCATGACAGATAAAATCAAAATCTGTCTCTCTCAAGGTCCACGTTACCTTTTCAGCAGTGCTTCAAGTCAGTTCAATTCTCTTTCCACCCAGATTTTTCTGCACCAAAACAGATTAATGTGCAAATTTGCAGTTTATTAGCTGAACTCCCATGTGTATCTCAGACATGTTGTTACATAGCACTGTCTAGCTGCATTTTATTTTCCAGTCCCTTGTCATAAATGAATTGACAGTGTTATGGTTGGACAATTTACTTAATATAGAAAGTCTTTATTTTTTTTCCAATTTTAATGGGTATCTGTTTGCATATGTGCATGTATTTAATTCCTTTTTGCAAACTAAAATTGTAGGGTTATAGTCATGTAGCTTCCAGTTTCCAGTACACTTGTCACACATATCTAAAAGGGAGTGATTTCATTTCTTTAACTGCATCAGTATGGTTAAAGCAACAAAACTTGTAAACACAAAGTGGCCCACAAACACAGTTTGCAGGTCTACTGATTATCAGTAACTTCCAATAGTGAATTCAATGAGATTTGAGGCTTCTGCATTTGTCTTTTTAGTTAAAGGGGCAAAAAAAATAGGTATAACAAAGAAAATCAAAGCATCCACATTGATGCTAGGATTTTGCTTCTGCCTTGATTTTGGCATCTTTAGAACTGACTGTGTGTGTGAAATGTACATGACAACTTTAGAAATGATACAAGCAAGTATACAAATACAGGAATTTGAACACAACTCCTTTGAAGTTTACATTTACAGCTGTTTTTCACAGTGAGATGCATGTATATCTGTGTACATATATATAAAAAATACTATTTCAACTGTACAGTGGGTCTATTAAATGTCATGGACATGAGTGGAGAGGAAGCAAATTTTTTTTTCCTTTATGGAGTATTTTGTAAGTTTAGAACTTAGAACAGCAACTAATGCAATCACATTAGGGTAGCAGGCCATGGTGAGCACCAGTCTACATGGCAGGATCTCCATGCAATGAGTCTCCATGGAAAATGCTGCTCTGTTCTCCAGATGAACTCGTTTGCTGCTACCTGAGAGGCAGTTTGCTGTTCAAGAGGCTAAGGAAGGACTGACCTTTCATTTCTGCAGCAGCTTACATAGCACCTTCCTTTTTCAACTCGAGTCCTAGTGCACATCAAGCATCTTCTTGGATATGAGTAGGAAAGTATTTCTATCTGAACTGAAGAACTTAATGTTTGAGTAAACAAGCTGTCATTGTACTTGTTACTTCTGCTCATTATTTATATATATTCTTTAGAAAATAGACTTATGTGTCCATCATGTTCCTGTGTATCACAGAGACCCACACACTTACTCTTACACTTCCTGACAAGCATAAAAATATGACAGGGAGGCTGTAGAGAATTGTATTTGTCATGAAGAAGAAAAATATACTGGATTTCAGGCTTCTTTTTTTCCCATAGCAGTCAAAAACTACTTTAGAAATAATTGTAAAACCTCCCATTTCTGGTGATGCCACAGTAAATGAGCTTTAGGTCATGCTGGTTTGGTTTGATTTGGTTTAACAAGTTGAGGGCTTTTTATGTATTGGTGTTTTGTTTTGGTATTTTTTTCCTCTGTTTGTATGGCAATTGCTCATAAGTTAGTTTTCTTTCCTTGTCTTAGGACTTGAGCTGCAGGAAATACATAGAAATTATGGAATTATGAAAATTGACAATAAATAAATATTTTTTTAAAAGAATCCTGGATTTAGTGAAGTAATTGAATATACCCCTTTTTCTTACAGAACGGTTTACACAGTACGGCCCTAAAAACCTTAGACAAGCATGGAATAAGTAAGTATTTTTTTAAATTGCACTTTTGACTCTTCAAGGGTATGATCTAACATAGATAGTTAACATATCTAACATCTAACTTTTCAAATAAGCCAGATATGAGTTGCCAGTTTCTTGTAAATAGGAAGAAACTGCATAGCATAGTAATTTCTTCTTCGGGGTGTTAGTTGGCAAATGTATTAAGCTCATGGAGAATTAGTATGTTACTCCTTTGGGCCATCAGTTTTGAATCTTGTTTTCTCTGTTAGTCTATAAAAATTAGGAAACTTTTAAATAATATGTTTCTAATCCACTTTTCAGTGTTGTTTCCACATTATCATCCCCTGTTGCCAGGTCCATCTGGTCATTGCTGTGAGCTGCTGACCATACTGTTGTCATCTTAATTATGGATGAAAAAAGTCAGTGAAAATTCACCACACTTTTTTCTTTTTTCCTTTCAATGTTTCCTGAATTTGGTCACATTTACATCAGATGGACATTGATACAAAGGTATTACACTCAGAGTCCAGAAAGGTTACCTGATGAGCATTCAGATTGAATACCACACTACTGGCATTAGTCCAAGTAAGCATCTGTGTAAAGTTTGCTAGAAGGTTTCTCAGCACATACAGAATATTTGTAGACAGGATATTTGGACTGCACTGTCTTGAGCAATTAATGGCTTTTATATTTTGAAGAAAGCATACAGAGTTTGAATTGGATGATTTCAGCTATGTCAACTTGTCTTGCCAGAAAAGCTGTTATAATTTTTCTCCACTCTCTTTTGGCCAAAAGTTCTGCAGCAAGGCTAAGACTTTGCTGTACCAGCATTGCTGTTTTCTTTCTGGTATACTAATTGAAAATTTTACTTTTGCTACTAACTGGCTGTCTTGTTGGTAGTTTACCAGGGAGTTCAAGAGATTAATTAGCAGGAGACTGTAACATCTCCCAAGTTCACCACTGTAATTGAAGATAGAATATGTTTTGGTGAAGAAACTTCCTTGTTGTAAAAGAAGAAAGTTATTAATAGAGTAGAAATCCAAATGCTTTTTCAATATCCTTCTTTATTAGCAATGAAATATGTCTACAACTGCAAAATCTATAGCATGGTGACTTTTCCAAAATGTGATTAGGTTTATATTCACTTTGCCATTCTGTTACTTTTTTCCCTATCTGCTCCTTCCCAAACTCATTTGGTACAGTGTTTTAATTTAAAAAAACCCGAACACCAAAAACAAGCAAAAAACTAAAACAAAAACAAACCACCTTTTGAAATTGTGGTTGACTGAAGGAGGAAGAATCTCTTAATATAGCAGGATTGTTGTTAAAAACATTTTGGTGTTAACTGTTGAATGTAATACCATCAGTTTTTGTTCTTTGTACAGTAAAAACCTGTACTTGTGTAGTGCCAGGCATCTTCCATGACCCTGTAGCTCACTTTGCAGTACTACTGGGTCCTCCTTGGTTCCCAGTTCCTGCAGTGAGAAATAAAGCTGGCACTGAAACCAGTTCAGGCCTCCACAAAGGTTAAGTGTTACCAGCCTGCATTAATTGACTTTCAATAGTCTATAGAAAAGCTCCTGGCTTGTCCAATTCAATCTAGGAGCCTAATTTGGTGGCTTTCGTGGATCCATCTCCTGTTTACTGCAGAGGGAACAACAGGAAGATTAACTCCACTTATATTTGGCTTTTGTAAATATCTCAGACCATTTTGCCAATTGCAATCCTTGCAGGCATCTTAAAATGTTTGAGTGTACCTCAATCTTACTGCTTGGAATACAATTCAATTTCCTGAAAGTCACAGCTTTCCTTTTAAAAATTAAGTCGCTATAATGGTCTATATCCTGTCCTTTTACAATCAAAAAATTGCAAGTTGATTTTTTCTTTAAAAGTAGTTAATACAATCCGAAAGCTTGGAAGAAGCAATTAGATTACAACATAGGCAATTAGATCTGGATGGGGAAAGAAGGACAAGGAAACTAATATTGATTTGAATGTGTTTGCTTAGAGGCATATATTTGCCTAAGTAATGTGAATAGATACTGGCATACTGTTCCATCCATCCTGCAGGCCTGGACTGAAGTCTTTTTTCTTTATTTTAAGAGCAGTTAGACCACTAAAATACAGCAGTTATGTATTAATAAGTACAATAATTGGTTTGAATTTGAGAAGTTGCTGTCTTATATTTCCGTCGAGACTATTGCATGAAATTTCTCTTTGCATAAAATACCACGAAAAAGAACAAAACCCAGTTTGCTTAAAGCAGCTTCAGTCTCTGAGATTTCATAATTGACACAAGTTGTGATCACATCACAGGCTGACTCAAATAAGACCAGAGCTTTCTAAATTCTATGAAACCTCTTCAAAAATATTTATGCATTTTCAATGCTCTGTGCATAAAGGATTTGCAATTTTTCAGCATAAATGAAGGGATTGAAAGCAATGACAATACATACAGTTCAGTGCTTCCTATGGGTGTTTCTACTATAATAGGAAATATTCAGTGCCTCAAAATTATGTATCATTTACATTTGAATTGTAAAGGGCTTTCTCTTTTTCCAGTGTAAATCTTTATCTGAGTGCTGTATTAGAGCGCTGTTTGCTTGCACAGCTGTAGTTAAGGATGTATAAACATTTCCGTTATAGACATCGTATTCCCAAGGGTTTATAATCCAGCTATAAAACTTAACACATGGATAGACTGATTCATTCTAGAAATTTTCTTTCTTTCTTATCACGTTTCAAAAAGCAGCAATCTCCAGTCTTAAATTTAAAAAACATTTTTAACTTCCGATTTAATTTGTGGAAGATTTTTGGTGACACAAAATATCATATGTCATATACATAATTATTTTATAGGCAATGATCATGAGACCTGAAAAGAGGAGAAAAATACAGAGTTTTTGTCTTTAAGTATGCATTGGTTTTGGTATAGATTTACTTCCTTTCAACATCTTAGTAGCTTTGAAAGATATACCTTAAAGAGCAATGTTTATGGTCTTGTAAGGATTTACATGTATGCTTAAACTATTGATGCAAAGTCCCATTATTGCATTTTATAGGGGAGGAATTGCAATGCAAAAAAAAAAAGAATTTTCACATAGAAACTTCCATAGAAACTGTACAGCAGTGACATTGAACTTCATGCTCCCGGATTGGAAGAGAACAGCTTTAATTTTCTAAACACAATGAAGTTTCACTATCTCCTGTTTCATCTTTCAGGCACAGGCTGATCCTTCATCTTGTTTTTGAGGTCACAGCATGTAAGGGTGAGAATATGGTTTGGAAGCCTTCAAAGAGGCTTTTACCTCAAAATGTACATTTTAATTCAATTTATGTAAGGAGAGGTTAGGAGGAGGAAGAATAATATTCTTCCAGTATCTACAGAGCCAGCTTCATGTCTGTAAGGCCAAAGGAAGAGAGGCAAAAAACTCCAACCTGAAACCTTCCAGAGAATTACAGACAGTAGTTTGAGGGCAAAATAATTGCACCTGACCAACATCAGCTTCCACAAGATGATTTTAAAGGCACAGCAAGATGATGGAAAGATATTGGACACAAGTCAATTGCTCTTCAATTCCTGGTCTAGCTGGAAATTATTTAAAAGCATGGAATTTAACAGCAATGACAATGTGAAACCCAGCAGGATCATTATATAAGTCAGATGCCTTAAATTCTTAAAATAGAATTGGTTATTATTAGATGCTACTTTTGGGAAGTGTTTGAGGCAAATAATATAACTTTCACATACAGTGAATTAAGTTATTTGGAAACTTTAACACCGAATTTCTTCACTGGTTGTCAAACTACTTAAAGATCATAGAGAGAGTATTTACTAGATAAGATGGAATCTATAAATCTTATAGTAATGCTTATAAAGTTAAAAAACAAAACTTGCATTGATGTTTGCTTCTATCTAGTATGCAGCGTCACCTACATAGCATGACATAACACACTGTGGAATGTAATTACAAAATACTGGTCTAAAAAGAACGAAGATGTGGTAATCTGATCTTCCTATAGAGTTCATAATGAATTATATTTTCACTTTTTTTCCTGAACTTTTCTGTTCAATTATCCCTACACAATAAAAACCAAGAAGAGCTCTGCCTCCAGAATGCAATGCAACCTCTTTCAATTTGCAAAAGCTTCTCCACAATAATAAACCCTTACAGAAGAATAACAAAAGAGAACTAATTATCCTTGTGTATATTTGGTAGGATATAAAAAGCTTTTTCAGACCCTTCTGTCATAATGGATTGTATTGTGAGAAATTAGGTTGGAAAGAAAAGGTGCAGTTGAAAACAAATTCTGGTCTGCATAAATAGGACTACTACTTTGTAATTCCCCAACATGGCTGTATTTATTATATAAATAACACTTTATTCTCACAAGCAGTCCCACTGCTGAGGATTTCTTCCTTTAACAAGATGGCCTCTGTACTTGAGACCTCCCTTTCTGAGGCCAGGGTGTTTAAAAGTTGCATTCCAGGATGGACTGGCCTATTTTGGGACTGTTATTCAGTGAAAACTTCCTGAAGAAAGCAGAGTGAGTGAATAGAGACAAGTCGATGTAGCTTGAGTCTGCATTTCGTTTCACGCATGGCACAGACTATGGAATTGCTTAGAGCTGAGACTTGGGAAGCATTTTTGGTTTGGGATTCTGTTGTTTGGGTTTTTAAGAGAATCTTTGCCTTAGTTAGGCTTTGATTAAAGAAAAAGCTCTTCTCTAATTGCCGCTTTTATCCCTTCACCTGCTGTCCTGTCACCAGCATCGCTCATTGTAACATAGTCGGTAGGATCACTGAAGGAATACTCAAGCTCTCCAACACAATAGAAACAAAAAGCTTTAGTGTTGTGGTTGGGGAAATCTTTCTGATGGATAAACCCAGAAGCAATAAGGATTTCAGGCAGTACCGAGCAGAGGTGTGCTGGCTGTGTGCTCTGTGTGCACTGTGAGCACATCACTGGGGTGCTGGGGCCAGGAGGGGCCACGGATCACGCTGGGGGAGCAGGGGTGGA